CATCCACAGTGAAGCATCTGAGTTGTTTATTGCCTCCTGGTATGTTGATGGCTCACCGTCCTCTGTTAAAAGGCAGTATGCAATATTACCTTCTATAACATAATATGAGTGCCAATTGGGACGTCTTCTTACATGATCTGATTGACGAGTTGTTGGAGCTTCAGAACTATCTAGTTCTTGTTCATCATGTGCTGGTTCTGCTTCAGAAGAATCTCCTTTTTCAAACTCTTTTTCCACATGTATCTGAGTAGTCTCTGACCAGCGCTATCACCGTCTTCTTTTCTTTGTAGTTTATCTTCTACAAAGATAACATCTCTACTGATGATCACTTTGCGGGAAGTGGGATCCCACAAGCGATACCCCTTTACTCCATCAACATACCCCAAGAATTTGCATTTCCTGGATTTTGGATCCAACTTTGAAATTTCTTGGGAGTTATACATCACGTACACTATACTTCCAAATACATGGAGGTTTGAATAATCAGCTGGTTTTCCAGTCCACAACTCCATTGGTGTCTTCAGCTCTATTGCAGTTGATGGAGCTCGATTTACCAAATAACAGGCGGTATTGACTGCTTCTGCCCAGAATGATTTTTCTAGGCATGCATCCCTCAACATTGCTCTTGTTCTTTCTAACAAGGTTCTGTTCATCCACTCTGCCACTCCATTTTGTCGAGGAGTGTTCGCCACTGTGAACTGTCTTTTGATGCCTTCTTTCCTGCAAAAGTCATCAAATTCTTCGCTTGTGTATTCTCCTCCATTATCTGTTCTGAAACACTTGATCTTATTTCCAGAATCAAGTTCCACCCGCGCTTTGAAGTTTTGAAAGTTGAAAACACGTCTGACTTCTTCTTAATAGGGTGCACCCAACATCTCCTGGAGTAGTCATCAATAAATGAGACAAAGTGTTTTATTCCACCTATGGATGTTACTGGTGTTTGCCATACGTCAGAGTAAACCAATTCCAGAACACTTTTGCCTCTAGAATTTGATGTGTTGAATTTCAACCGGTGCTGCTTACTTGTTATGCAATGCTCACACAAAGTAAGTGATACCTTTGTTAAGCCTGGAAGTAGCTTTTGCTCCAGAAAGACTTTCATTCCTTGTTCTGACATGTGTCCAAGTTTCTTATGCCATAGCATTGCAGAATCTGAACTACATGAGGCAACAGAGGCTTCTGCTTCTAGCAATGTCTCTCCCTTCAGCATGTACAAGTTTACAACTATCTTTTCACCTTTCATCACCACAAGCGCTCCACGGAACACCTTCATGATTCATTTTTGTGTTTCAATCTTGCTAGCATTATTATCCAACAATCCGTAGGATAATAAATTTTTCTTCAGACCTTTCATGTGCCACACATCTTGAACAACTTTAATTGTTCCATCATACATCTTCAATTTGATAGTTCCCACGCCAACGATCTCTAAGGCATGATCATTGCAACTATACACAGATCCTCCTGAGACAGGTTCATAATGATGAAACCATTCTCTTCTTGAGGTCATGTGCTATGTTGCTTCCGAATCAATGAGTCATATATCTGCAAATCGTTTTCTTTCTTCCACGGTGGTTGACGCTTCACAACATAGAGCATCTCCATCATCTGAAGTGTTTGGGGTATTGCCTTGTGGATTGGAGTTTTTATTTAGACTCCAACAATCCTTCTTCAAGTGACCCTTCTTTCTACAGTTGTAACACTTTAAATTCTTCTTGCTTCTCGACTTCGATCTACCATGTTTGTGACTGCTGCTTTGGCCACGTTCTGTTGATCTCCCTCTCATCGTTGTCATCATTGTCAACGCTTCTGCTTGTTGCAGATTTACTTGTCTGTCTTCCTTGTTCTTGCGCCGATTTTCTTCTTGTAGAACAGCAACTGCAACGTCATCGAAGACTAGACTGGTGACATTACTGTTTGTTAAATTGATGATGAGTTGATCATACGAATCCGGTAGACTTTGAAGTAGAAGTTCAACACGTTCTTGTTCTCCTATTTTACAGCTTAAGGATGTAAGTTGAGAAAATAAAGTGTTCAGTGTATTTAAGTGCTCCGTCACTGAAGTAGATTTTGGCATACAGAGAGTGTACAATTTTCTCTTAAGGAAAATTTTATTGTGCAGCGATGTGGCCTCGTACAGTTTGGTGAAATGATCCCATATCTCCTTAGCTGTCTTCTTCTCCTCGATACTTGACAATACTTCATATGCTAATGCTAGATGAAAGTTTGCCATAGCATTTCCGTCCATTTCGATCAATTTGTTGTCGTCTGTGAAATCTACTGGCCTTTCGCTGATAGTTGCTAGACAACCGTCTTTACTCAGGATGGCCTTCATCTTCAATTTCCACAATGAGAAATTTCTCCCATTGAACTTTTCAATATCAAATTTTGTTGCCATAGCTTCTTTTACGGATAGCTCCCACTATTTCACTATCGATAATAGTTCTCTGAAACCTTCAAAGAATGGGTAATACCTTCTTACTTTCTTATGTTGGAGGATCCACCTTTTAGTGGCAACCACAAAGACAATAAGCAGATATTACACACTCTAATCTAGCTCTGATACCAATTGTTGCGGAAGACGGCTATCGGATAGAGCAAAATCGCAACTGATAATTTGAGAAAATAAAAATGAAGATAAAAGAGACACAGTAGAAGAATTTTACTATGAGAAAATAGGAATTACAACTTCTCTCGATCTACCAAGGAGAAAACAATGATAATTCTCTCTTGATAAAAAGGAGAAAATAACTCTCAAGAAACTATCTAAATTCTCTAGTATTGGAAGAAAGCTAGAATGCTTTGGGATGGTTTTGAAGCTAAATGAGCTAGGGTATTTATAGTTGAAGCTTTAAGGACTAATTTGTAAATACTCTAAATTACAATGACTAATTGCATAGTTTTATCATCCAAAATTTTCAACAATTTGGTGGCCAAATTTGACCAATTTTACCCCCCATTAATGCCACCAAATTACCACCCATAATGTTGACTAATGATGCAATTTGATGTGCCACTTTTCAACATGATTTTTGTACTTGGTAGTCGGTAGATAGTGTTTCAATTAGTGGATCGATTGATGATTTGTTTAATTGGTGTTTCAAAGTGAATTGAGCGGGTTTGTTTCGTTAACAACATGTCTATAGAGTATTTAATTGAATTTAAGAGTTGCCATGAAAGAAAATTGAATTTAATTGAGAAAAAGTTGCCAAGGAAATTGGATCCATGGTCTCCAAGGAGCCCAGCATCACCCCTACCGTAATGTTTCACAATATTTTATATTTAACTTATATTATCAAGAAACCAGGGAAAAAAGTAACAGTAAAAAAATCAAGCCTTAGCATATTATGAAAAAAATATTACGCTTATAATTCAAAATAAATATTATTAACTAATTAAAAATATTAAAGTTAATTTAAAATATAAATATATTAAATTTATTTTTATTTTAAATGTTAGTTTAGCTACATTTTTAAATATATATATATAACATGTATTTAATTATTAACTAATAGTTACATCTGTTTTGGTTGGCTAAGCTTTTTTATATTTCGTAATATGCCACGGTTTGAGTTGTTAAACATTAGTTTATACAAGATTAAAAAAAAATTAAGATTTGTACAAGATTAAAATCGACTTCTAATTACACATTTTAACTGTATAATTCAATAAAAATTAATTAAAATATAAATGATTCATATACTTTATTTTTTAATAAAAAGTAAACTTATTAATTAATAATGAAATACAAGTTAATAATTAAATACATATTATATATTTAAAAATGCAGTTAAAATAAGATCTAAAAAATAATATGTTTATATTTTAAATTAAATTTAATATTTTTCATTAGTTAATAATATTTATTTTGAATTATATGCTTAAGTTTTTTTTTTATATTTCATAATATGCTGAGGCTTGATTTTTTACTGTTACTTTTGTTTTCCATTTTTTTTGTATTCCTTATAATGTAAGTTAAATAACTAATGTTGTGGAACACTTATTAAACATAGTGACTATCGCAGTGGCTGAGGAGATGCTTTATTACTTAGAAAACTAGATTGAACCTCACAAAAAGCACAATTTAAATCAATTTATTTTTCTTTTATCCGATGGTCACAAAAAGCACAATTTAAATCAATTTATTTTTCTTTTATCCGATGGTGTCACGTGTCATAATCTGAAAGATAAAAATATTTAAATTAAATATAAATTTAAGTAAGAAAAGTTCTCCAATAATGTCGTGACATGTGTTTTCATATAATTAGAGGATTAAATTTACTTAATTAATTTAAAATTATCACTAATTTGATAGAATGTATAAGTAATAAGGACTAAATGTAAATTTTACCAATTTTATTAACTGTCACATCAATATTTCTGTTAACTGTTAACGGCTAGTGGTATGATTGAATGTATCAAAAACACATTTTAAATCAATTCATTTTTCTTCCATCCGATTGTGCCACATGTCATCATCTGGTTGGAGGAAAAATCTTTAAATTAAATATAAATTAAATTAATAAAAGAAAAGAGTCTCCAATAATGTAATGACATGTGTCTTCATATAATTAGAGGGTTAAATTTATTTAATTAATTTAAAATTATGACTAATTTGATAGAATGTATAAGGAATAAATGTAAATTATACAAATTTTATTAACTGCCACGTCACCTCTTCCGTTAACTGTTATCAGCTAGTGACCTGATTGAATGCATTTAAATAGTTGGGTAGTCTGATTGACAAAAATTCAAAAATAATGATCAAAATGAAAATGGGTTATAGTTGGATGGTCATTGGTATAGTTTACCCTAACTTTAAATGCTTTCAAAAATTTTGGAAACATTTTTAGGGTTACGCTTTCTTTCCTTCTTTTCCAACTATGCCGATGAACCCTCGAGGCGGTGAACCCCTTTCCGACGCCGAAACCAACCATTTTAGATCCTCCGACTATCCTAAAGACGACAAGTCTAATCCTCAAACCGACGATGGCGCCAGTCCTGGGTAAATATATTCTCCGTTCTTCTGTTTGTTTCTTGAGAAAATTTGGAGGTGTCGAGGAAAATCATGAAATTATCGATTACCCATTGCTTAATTACACATGAAAAACGTAAATTGACTCGTTATTTGCATATACATATGTATATGTTCTTTTAGATCTACTCTGTTTCCTGAGAAAACTATAGAAAAAGTAATGAGAAAATTTGAGCCTTTTTCCTTTACCTTTTAGTTAATGACTTGGAAATTATTCGCAAATTTACACTACAAGAAATTTATACTATTGTGATAAATTTAATTTTGTCAAAATTAATTTTGTCAATATTAGTAGCTTTTTGGTGACAAAATAAATAATCGTCACATTAGATTAAAAAAAGATATACAATTATGACAAAAGCTAAAATAGTCGCAATAATTTGTCACAATTAGCAAATATGTGTAACATATGGTGACAAAATAAATTTTATTACGAATTTTTGTTACAAATGTTTCCCTCCAATTTTTTGGCGCCAAATTGAAGGCATATAGTGACAACTTTTGTAACTAAAAGTTTTAGTAACTATGACAGAAAAAATTTTCACAACAAATAATGAGATTTAGATTTGTTGTGATAAATTTTCTTTGTAATTATATATTTTAAATATAGTGATAAAATGTATAGTCACAAATGATCATCTCCAATTTTTGGTACAAAAACAAAATCATATAGTGACATGTTTTGTAACTATAAGCTATAATTATTGTTACAGAAAAATTATCACAACAAATAATGAGATTCAATTTTTTAGTAAAAAACAATGTTTTTCGTTATATATTTTAATTATAGTGACGAAATATATTGTCACAAATATTTCCCTCCATATTTTTTTTGCGCCAAAAAAGTCATATAGTGACAAATTTTGTAACTATAAGTGTTAATAATTATTACAAAAAATATTGTCACAAAAAATAATGATATTCACGTTTTTGTGACAAATTATATTTGTAATTATAAATTTTAACTATAGTGATAGCATATATTAATTGTCATAACTATTTTTCTCTACTTTTTTTTTTGTTTCAAAAGTTATATTAACAATTTTTATAATTATAATTTATAGTTATTGTTATAGAAAAATTATCACATCAAATAATAAAATTCAAGTTTTTTGTAATAAATTATTTTTGTACTTATATATTTTAATCATTATGAAAAATTATACTATCAGAACCATTTCTCCCTATTTTTTAGTGTCAAAAATGTTATATAGTAACAAAATATATTGTAATTAATAAAATTTAAGTTTTTTGTAATTAATTATTTTTGTAGTTATATATTTTAATCATTATGAAAACTTATACTATCAGAAATATTTCTCCCTAGTTTTTGGTGCAAAAATGTTATATAGTGACAAGTTTTGTAACTATATGTAATAGTTATTGTTATAGAAAATTATCACAACAAAAATTTTATTTTTTTAACTAATAAAAGATTCAAGTTTTTTATAAAAAAATTATGTTTGCAGTTATATATTTAATTATAATGATAAAATATAATTATTATTATAAAAAACAAAATGTTCAAAAAAATTAATTTTTTCTGATAATATATATATATATAATTAAATGACATTTTAAAATAAAATTTAATAAAAAATATATTATCAAAAAGTTTAGGGGCTTGTTTATTTATTAAAAAATCATTATTCTAAATTTAAAATCTAAAATACACAAAATAATATAAAAATAGTAAAAATAAAAATTAAATTGCTAAAAAATTGAAATATATGTATATATATATATATTGAATTGAGAATGAACAAGCTAACTTAAGACCTTAGGTATGGAAGTCCGATTAAGTCTTGAACAATATATATTAATTATAGTTGGGCAAATTTCCTATTAATTTTTTTACATTAAGTTTAGGTAAAGTTTACTTCTGTTTATCATGTTATATTCACTACAATACTTTTCTTAGTTGTATAACTATTTTTAATATTTTTTATTATATAGTTTCATAATAGTTAATGATAGAAGATGTTGGTTAAAGGGTCATGTTAAATATACAAGAGTCTTATGTATCTTTTTATGAAAATTAAATAAATATTAATCGGTTATAGATTACCCGAAAATATGGGTACCTAGATTTTATGGATACCCAACTTATGGGTGCCTGCATATTACTAGTTGAGACGTAGACCGAGTTTTTGACACCCAAAAATTTCGAATACCTAAAAAAACGAGTACCTAGATATGAACATCTCTAACTAATAAGGATGATAAAAAATCATGTATTAAATTTACTACGATTATTTTTATAAACTATAACACATCAAAGTTTAACCATAAATTATTTTTAATACACGAATTTTATATACGATTTTTATCATTTTTGTTAATAATTAATATTATTATGATTATTGATTTGTTTTATATTTTAATATTATATAAATCTCTTCAGAACCATCCTGTTATGAATATTATACTTTTATTATTATTATTATTATTAATATTTTAAGAAGATATCAAAAGATTCTCTAATTAATAATAATAATCGTACTATGGGTTTAATAGGAGTGTAATTTTTGTTTCATATTCAATTTATTACAATATTTTATATTTTATTATTTTAATATTATATGAGTCAAACAAATAATTGTGCTATGCTCTTAATAATATTAAATAATATTTTTTAAAGTAAATAATTTATTTAGGAGGGAAATTTCCCTCTATTTTATTTTAAATGAAATTGATTTTTACAGGGAAACTGGTTTTTAGAGAACTTTATTTGTATTTATTTTATAAATACTTTTTTAAAACTCTCAGTTTAACTGTTTCAGACCATTATTCCAACTTTATATTTCTTCTTTCATCGTGAAGGCAAAAAATAAAACAACGAGTTTTTTCTTTGATATTATGTCTAATTACTCTTGTAGAGATTAATTTAAAAGAAATATAAACCTAAGGATTTGATCTAAAATTAAGATTCTATGACTACATTGAAAGGAATATAAATTACCCAACAAAATTAAATGCAATTAATAAGAACCAAGGGATTAAAATGTAATAAATTAAAAAGGCAATAGTTAATTAAAAATAAAACATAATAGCATCAAACGATGACTAAATTGTACTAAAAAAAACAGTGAGCCACGATCAGAAATTAGAAAGAAACATTCAGTGAGCAAATTAGATGAAATAAAAATAAGGGACGACATATTAAAATACTGGAGCATAAAAGAACCCGTATTAAAATTAGACCAAATATTTTAGCAGAACACAAAAACCCTAGCCTTTCACGCGTGTTGTTTTCACTTGACCATATCTCCTCTTTGTGTGCCGCATCTCTCTCCTCATGTATCACCTTTTATTATCATTTATTTGATTTCATCTCCCGATGGGTCTACATTCATCCCTGAATGTCGTCGGGTACTGTTCACTTCCCCGCCATTCTTGTAACCGTCACTTGTAATCCGCGCAGGTGTGTCCGCCCTCGCCTACCAAAACAAAAAAAGATGTTGCTAATTGGCACTAATGGTAATGTGGACCATCGATCAAGAAGGACTTCGGAGACTGCAATCGATTTGAGAAAAAAAATAGGGTCAACTCTTCTAGTTCTGCCGTTGGATGACTTCCACTTTATATTGAGTTTGGAATTCTTGTGGAAGATAAGAGTTTACGTTTCACCTCTTTAGTTGGCTTTGAAAGGAAGAGATAGATACTGTACAGAGAGGAGAGTTCAGGTCAAATCCTGTCGATAAAAAATTCTAGAATTTTATTCATCGCTAAATTCTCGTTTGCTTGCTTTCATGTTTATGGTTTTGTTTTCATCTTTTTATAGATTTCAATTTGAACTCTTAGCTTCCTGATTTTACACAATGGATCGGGAGAGCGGCATTATCGATACATGTAAAATGAGATTAATGGATCTTGTTTACTCAAAAAAAAAAAGAGATTAATGGATCTTGCCACTTTCATGCGCTCTGTTAGAAAGCAGAAATAATTCTTATATCACATCATACTGCTATGATCTTACTGGTTTAGCAGTAACTGTTTTATTTTTTTCTCTTAGAGTGTCCTGCAGAGTTACTGCAACTAGAAAGGCAATATTGAGGGCATTGAAGCTTCTGATATTAGGAATTTTTTTACAAGGTGGCTCGTTATTTCTTTAACCCTGTACAACATATCATGGCTGATGGATATATGTATGGATTTTCTTACAACACTTATATGACAGACCTCTAACATGATATGATTATGCTGTGTGTTTGAGTAGTCTAATGATAAATGTATCACATGGGTAATTTATTTTTCTAATTTCGTATACAATTGTCTCATAATCTGTAATTTCTAATCACTAACAGGAGGCTTCTTCCATGGGATCAAGAATTTAACATATGGGGTGGATATTGATCGAATGAGATTGATGGGCATACTGCAGGTGTTCTTTCTAACAAGTTCACTCCATATTTATTTTATGAATGGTTGAATAATGAATGAAGGTGTTCTATGGTTGCTTCTTGGTTTCTCCTTAATGTACAGTGAGCTAAGCAAATTAACTGTTACAAGTTGGCTATTCAGGTGCTTTATGACAGCATTAGTCCATTTTTTCTCAAACTTCTCAGCAAGTTTGAGGTGGAAATGTTTTAGGAATGAAAAAGACTGAGATTTAGTTGTGCAGTTATAAGTAGTGCTAATTATTTATTGTATGATAATATATTGTTCTCTTTTTCTTTTTCACCGTTCCCAGAGAATAGCAATAGCATATTTAGTAGCAGCATTGTGCGAGATTTGGCTCAAGGGAGATGATCATGCAATATCACAGTTAGCTCTGTTAAGAAAGTATCAATTTCAGTGGTAAGGTTTTTGTAAGCATATGGTAACTAATTTTTATTCCTGACATGCATATATACCAATTACCATTTACATCCAAATAGAGTTCCATTATGCAGTCTTTTATAAGAACTTAAGTTTGATCCTTTTACACTGTCATAATATATGTGGAAAGGTAAGCTTCAGGTTCTTTATTTTCCATTTTGGTCTCTCATACCGAAGGTTCATTTCCTTTTCACCAATGTTCTTTAAAATTGCATTCTCATTGTTCTTTCATAGCTCAAATTGCCGTCTCTCTTTCTCGGTCTCAGGCTTTGCAGCTTCTGTGCTTGTTGTCGTATAAATTTCCTTGTTATATGGCTTGTACGTACCCACTTGGCAATATCAGATTCCTGATTTGATCAAGGGAGAGCCTACTCCTTTTGCATGCCTTTAGGTTTTATAGAACCCCTCAATATTACAAAAAATCAAATAATGAAATGAAAAAACTTTTTTTTTCTTCCTCTGACTTGCTTCTCTTTGTTCTGCTCTTTTCTAGTTTGCTTGTGTGAAACTTGCTTATAGGTACGGGGAGAGCATAGTCACCAGCAACAAAGGGCATGGGCACAAGTATGGGATGCATCTGATGTTAAGGCAGATAAGGACCACTGTTGCATGCGTGGCAAGGAGAGGAAGATTGTTGGTGTGCTTCTCGATTTTTGGGTTGCTCATGAGTCATTGTTGGGACTATTACTGGGCATTAAATGCCCCAAATTTGTATTGGATTTCTTTTCTTTTTTAATGCATATATGGATAAAAAATTCTGATTTCAGCCACAATAACATATTAAATTTAATAAAAATATATATTAAATTTAATCAAAATAAAAAGTTATGTTAAATTTATTTCGTCATAATATTTTCTCAAAATAACAATTATGTTATTTTTTGACAAATTTGTTTAGTCATAATAACAATTTATAACAAATATTAATTTCTCAATATAAAAAAATTATGACAAATAACATTCTTTCACTATAACTATAATAAATTGTAACAAGTTTATTTAGTTACAATAACACAGTAAATTTACTCAAAATAAAAAGTTATGTCAAATTTATTTCATCATAATATTTTGTTAAAATAAAAATTGTGACAAATTTATTTAATCAAAATAACAATTTATAACAAATGTTAATTTCTCAATATAAAAAATTGTGACGAAGTAATATTCTTTCACAATATCAAATTACAACAAAATTATTTAGTCACATAAAAAATTTATAGAAATTATTTAGTGATGAAATAAAAGTAGTGAGAAATTAAATTTTGTTGTAACATGTCTTTTTGTCACGAAATTTTTTTTTATTTGATGTCATAATTTAAGTTAATTGTGACAAAATTTACTTTTTATGATAAAATAAATATTTTATTTTAACAAATATTTTGTCTCTGTATTTTACATGTAGTGACAAAATAGAAACCTTGACAAATACTTTTTTGTTACCGTATTTATTTTCGTCACAAAAACTCTTTATATTTGATGTTAAAATATAAGTTAGTTATGACAAAATGTAGTTTTCGTGACGTAATGGTTAATTGATTGTGACAAATATTTTATTACGATAAGTTAATTATAGTAACAAAATTTTATTGTTACAATAAATACTATAAAATGGTAATGAACAAAAATTTGTCACAATATACTTTACATGACAAGGTTGTTCTAACAAACATGGTAACAAATAAAATTAGTCAAAATAAATATATCATGACAAATTTAGTACTTTTAGTGATAAATAATTTTGTTGAAACAATCGAAATTTCTTGTAGTGTTAATTGAAATGATATACCCATTTTTTAGTTTATTTTTTATAAGTTTGGAATTTATATCATTTTAAAATAAAAGGGAAAGAGGAAGAATTAGGGTTCTTCTTTTCTCTTTTTCTTTAGACTTATGTAGGATTATATTGATATGTTTAGAGGTATCTATTTCTTTGAAAGGCCCCTTTTAGCATGAATACTTTTAAAGTGATTTGTAATTTATATTCGATATTTGGAAATTTGCAGCAAAATTTTTGTAGGAGGTTTAATGAGAGAGACAAGTTCTGATTAGTTCTTTAGCTTGTTTGTTGGAGATTTTTATTAATCTCCTTGAATATGATTATAGCACGAATTGCTTTTCCTGTAGTATATTCCAATTTGGTTGTTTTACGTATTTTCTGCAGCACAATTTCTTGAGCATTTTGGTAAATATGGTGAAATTAAGGATTCTGTGATAATGAAGGACCGAAAAACGGGACAGCCTCGTGGGTTCGGGTTTGTGACTTATGCAGAACGTTCTGTGGTTGATAAAGTCATTGAGGACACTCATGTTATTAATGGGAAGCAAGTAAGAATCCGCTTTAGTCTGAATGTTTTATTTATTGTTATGTTTCCTTACTATAGTCTGGTGTATGCTGCTTTGTTTTTGACTTGAATTACTTCTCTTTGGCTCGGTTTTTGTCCTTTTAGGTAGAGATTAAGAGAACAATACCAAAAGGAGCCACTGGAAGTAAAGATTTCAAGACTAGGAAGATTTTTGTAGGTGGAATTCCTTCAACTGTATCCGAAGATGATACCAATATCTTCCTTTCTTTAATGCATATAACATTAAAGCTTCACTCCGTTTGTCCAGAATAACTTGATTCATCGTAGATATTTCACGTAAATGTTAATCTATTTGGTGCAAATTGACAGATGAGTTCAAGGACTACTTTACACAATATGGAGAAGTCAGAGAACACCAAATCATGCGGGATCGTGCCACCAATCGTTCCCGTGGTTTTGGGTTCATTATTTTTGAAATGGAACAAGTGGTTGATGATCTCTTGGAGAAGGGAAACAAGATTTACTTTGCCGGAGGTCAGGTATGTAGATTGCCCATTGAATTGATGTTTCATGAAATACCTTATCGTCTTTATGGGCTATCATCTTTTTCACTTTTAGATGTTACCAAATGATGGCATTTCCATGAACGCGTACCATTTTTCTTTGACAAGAGTTTACTTTCAGACCTTAATTATATTAGCTGTAGTTCTTTTTACCCTTACAGAAAACGAGTAAGGTGAATTTAGAGAATCCATTTTGTTATGTTAAATTTTAGAAACACTAAACTGAGTCTCATGATGTGTCCCTTTGTTGGTAGGTGGAGATAAAAAGGGCAGAGCCGAGGAAATCGAACCCGCTCCCACCTCTATCTAAGCGACATAATGATTCTAGGACTGCATATGGTGGCGGATTCAGAGATGGCTATGGTAGATATGGAGGTGGTGGATTTGGTAGTGGTGGTTACAATAGATCAAGTGGTGTTTATGGGGCATTTAGTGGAGGCGATTTTGGTGGTTATGGAGGTTATGATGGTGTAGGGCCTTTCAGGGAAGAGCCGTCCCTTGGATACTCGGGTCGTTATGGAGGAAATTTCAATAGAGGATATGACATGGGAAGCGGCTACGGAGGGCCTGGTGAGTTTTACGGGGATATGGTGCTGGAGCTGCGGGTGGTGGATATGGTAGTAGCTATGATACTGGCCTTGGTGGCAGCTACAGTGGTGGTGCAGGTGGAAGTTCCTTCTACGGAAGTCGAGGGGGATATAGCGATGCAAGTAGCGGTCGATACCACCCCTATGGAAGATGGGCTGACTCGGAGAAAAAACTCTATTGGGGAGAAGTTACAAAATGTTGTCTCAATTTGTATCATTTTAGTATTTTTTAATTTTTCTTAGATTTCAGAATTCAAGGATTTGATTATCCACTTTACCCTTAAAATTTTAATTTAAAGCTGAATTGTGAGAGCTAAGTGCTCCGATTTCATCTTTTTCGATTGACATTAGAATGCAAACTCTTCAAGCTGTGAAATTAATTTCCAAAAAAATAATAATAATTAGTGTATTAGTTCTCTGTATTTTTTTTTATTTTGGAAATCAATATTGTTTTCTTATAGGCAAAACGGTCATACAAAAATCAATAATTTTTCTTAAATGTAATATGATCTTGATTTTTTTTGACTTTTTAATCAGGATATAATTTTATTATTAAAGAGTAATTTCGAATTTTAGTTTATCAATTAATTTTGTTAATAAATTTTAAAATATCTAAAATTTTAACATTTTATTTTTTATTTTAATTATTAATAACATTTAATCTATTACTTAGAAATATTTGTCTCGTTAACATTTAAATGATATAATAATGGGGTATCGACATAAAAATTATTCTTTTAAAAATAATTATCATTTTAAAAAATACTTTTAAATTATCTTTAATTGTTGACAATAAAGTTGACAATAATTATAACGACGGGAGAACTAGTGAACTCGATACATGTCTATGAAGTGTAATAGTCGGAAGAGTTTGTTGACCTCTAAAGGCTATTGGAAGTACATTTCCAATGGTGAGAGTTAAAGTTAGTAGGAGTGTAAGGAAATGATGAGAGCAGTGGATACCAATGGCGTTGGGGGGAAAAATAGAATGTTGAAAAGTCAAATAAAATAGAACTAAATTTGAGTCAAAATCTCACGTTATCACTCCGTTAATAAATTAACGAGGCTGGTTCAAGTTAGGGATGGACTCAGGGGGAGCGGGTAGAGGCCGTAGTCTCTTTAAAAATTTAAAATTATCATATATTTTAGATTTTTTCTATTTATTTTCTATTGAAAATATGGTTTCACCCCCTAAAAATTTATAATTTTAGGTTCGCCTCCTAACTTAAAATCATGCGTTCATCACTAGTTTAAGTGGTAAACAACTTAATATTGTTTAAGTAAGGTCTCAAGTTTGAGTTCTTGTGTATGCATAAAATTCCAGCTAGGAGACTCATCCACCAAAACCAGATGAACGACCCTTGTAAATCTAGATTAGCTAGGGCGAAGTCTTGGAACTGGTGGGCAACAAAAACAAATAATGGAGGAGTGATTAAAAAAAATCAATATATAAAATTCAATTATAGAATTAAAATTTTTTTAAACTTGAGTGATCAAAATAAGAATAAGAAGAAAGCTGAATGATGATCTTTATAGTTTATTCCATCAATAATTAAGATGATAACAATAACAAACGAAGTATTTTAAGTTAGGGTTGAATTTATAAAATTTTATAAATAAAAATAAATTATTAATAAAAAATATAAAAATACGTAAATTATATAAAATCTAAAAATTTTAAAAAGAGTGACCACCTCTGTCAACTCCTATTTATTCCCGTTAATTCTTTCTCCCATCAAAATCTAAAGAATCATTACAATTATAAAAGATTATTAATATGTTGCTAGAAAATGTAACATCTTGGGGTCCCTCTATTGCATTATCGAGTTACTTCAGTTTTGTACCATTATTTAGTGCAGATGATCGAACGTAAACTGTGGCTGGAAGGCTCCTTGTTTATCTTTGGCGGGTCGCATTACTTTAGCCAGAGCTATGCTTTTTGCGATTCCTACTTATACCATGCAGACTGTGATGATTCCGAAGCATGTGCGTTGGATATTGAACATCTTATCTGCGTTTCGTCTGGGGTGATATCTCGAGGATTGGGGGGTACATCTTGTTAAATGGAATAAAACTCCTATTGCGAAACGAGGTTTGGGTTTTCGTATTGTTACCACTCAAAATAAAGCTTTCCTTGTGAAACTTCTTTCAGTTTATTGGTCCGGAAAAATGACAACTGGCTTAGTTTCATTCGGGTGAAATATAAATGTCCTGTTGGTATCCCTATGTCTTAGTGTGATTTGAGATAATGTTCGAAATAATATCGTTTGGAAAATCGAGTGAGCGAATCTCACTCAATCGGTGTGGCTGTGCATCTTCTAAGAGGAGATCAAATTGACGAAAATGAGCATATACGGTTTTCCTCGTCTTGTATCTGTGAACCGAGGCTCTCCAGAAAGAGTATAAATAATTACTCAGCTGAAGATGAAGTGTATGTGGTATATCATCACACCATCTCAACAAATTAATGGTATGCACACTGGGGATCTCATCGACATCAGACATTATCAATAAATCCTCATCTTCTATAACTGCAAATCTGAGGAGCCGGTCCAATGCAGCCCTCTGATATGCCTCCACGACAAAAGGATTTTCGCTTTTCTTGAATCTCCCATCAATGGTCCCATAAGCGAGGCTCGATGAATGTTGAAGTATGTTGAAGAAGTATGCTAGTACGCTCGTGCATGGCTGGTTGCTGGTGCTCGTGCAAGGATTGTTGCTAGCTGTAGGTGCAGCTGATATATGCTCTTGGAGTTGCAACAGTTAGTTTGTTAGTTAGTTAGAGTGTTAGTAGTCTTGTAACCGTATGAGTGATGGCTATATAATGCATGTAAAGGATGGTGTTAAAAGATAAGAAAGAAAGCATTTTTTTCTAAATTGCATTCTCTTAGTTCAAGAGCTTTAAGTTCTCTCAACATGGTATCATTCGCTGTTATATCCTAGGGTTTGCTTTCGTTGTTCGTGTTGCTATGGATCAAAGTGTTTCATCTACAGCCACATCAGAGTTTTCATCAAGAAACACCAAAGTATTCACCAAGAAAAGGGTGAACGTGGTTCTTGATGAAACAAACTTCCTGCTTTGGAAACAACAAGTGTTACTCACTGTGAGGAGCCACCGTCTTGAGCGAATGTTGACTGGAACGATGTTGCCTCCTCTAGAAACGGTGGTTGGTGAAGAAGGAGTTGCAATTGTCAATGAAGAATATGAGGAGTTCTTGGCTCAAGATAGTGCGTTGGCTTCTTGGTTGCTGTCAACGGCCAGTCCTCACTTACTCCCTCAATTTATTGGTGCTGAAACATCTACTCATGTATGAAACAAAATCTTGCAATTCTTTTCCAATCGTTCTACCACTGCTGTAATGAGCTTACATTACAAGCTTCAATCTCTCAAGAAAGGAGGAGATAGCATGAGAACTTATCTCACAAAAGTAAAAGAGGTTGTTGATTCATTGAACTATTGTGGAAGTCCAGTTTCAGTATCTGAACATGTTGCGAGCATTCTTAAAGGCCTTAGAAGGGAATATCAGCCCTTCATAGTAGTAATATCTGCTATGCATGACACGCTGTCACTTGACAACATCTATACCATGCTTATTGATGTTGAAACACAACTTGAGGGTTTTGATTACCAGCCTAAATCTCCGTCTGTTAGTGCCAATTTTGCACAAGGGAAGGTTGAGTATGGCTTTCACAAGAATCGGGAAAAGCAACAGTATCAATCCAATCATTCATCATACTCGCGTGGGAGGTCTAGTGGCTGAGAAAGAGGATGACCTAGAGTTCAGTTCCATTTATGTGGCAAGAATGGACATCTTGTCAGTCAGTGTTGGCACAAATTCAATGAGGACTTCTCTGGCATAACGATTGATGATCATGCTTCTGGCTTTGAATCCTCAAAAGCTTATTATGCTGCAAATGGGAACAATGACAATGCATACACTTACTGTAATCATAATGGAACATATCGTGATGATAACATGAATGCTGGGCAAAGTCAGGCACATGCAATGTCTACTGGTCAAGATCAATGGGTGATTGACTCTGGTGCAACGCACCATGTTACCTCCAATGCAGCCTCGATCACTCATCACTCGAATTGTAACAATCCTGGTAAGTTGATGGTAAGAAATGGTGATTCCCTACCCGTTCGTATGGTTGGCAAGGTTGAGCTACCTGCTTTATCACGAACCTTGTCCTTAAGTAACATTTTCCATATTCATTCAATAACTAAGAATCTACTTTCTGTTTCCAAGCTTGCTAGGGATAAGCTTGTTTCTTGAGTTTTATGCCAAAACGTGTGTATGTTCGAG